CGTGCCTCAAATCCTCTTCTGTTCACCCACTTTCAACTGTATCTATCCAAAACACCTGTTCCGGTACTACATTCTGAATCCTCTGATGCACAAGACCAAAGTCAGCCGTCATGTCCCCGCCTAGGTCCTTCAACCATTTTTCTCAGAGGACTCGGTGTCCAGACTCTTCCCCATCCTCATCAGCTCACCTGGACTCGTTCCAGTTGTCACCGTCACTCCTACAGGCAGCATCCAGGAAGGGATACAGCCCTCTCCAAGTCCCTAACAGAATGGTAATCGTCCTCTGCCTCTGTACTATCTAAATCTTAAAATTGAATTTGCCTTTTGACTGAGGACCCCTCCCAAATGCAAAGGCTCTCCCTGTCCCAGCCCAATCCTCTAATCCAATCATAATTCTTGATGGAGGGAAGACAGACATAGAAGACTGGTATGCATTATTACAGAGAAAAATTGACAGGGGACTTGCTTCTAGAGGGGGGCTAGAATGGTAATCAAACATATTCAGGATTTGCCTAAAGAACTGATCCTAACTGGCTAGTTGTCCACTTCCTCCTCTTTGCAAGGAATGCCTATCATCACGGAGGGTTGAGAAAGCACGTTTTACCATTTTGGCAATAGAGATAGTCATTTTCATACTCTTGCATTCAGTTTTATCTTAAAAATAAATTTGTAAAAGTAAACCAATAATATATAGGGAAGAAGAATAAAGTAAAAGGAATTAGTTAACATATAAAATGATGATAAGAGATAGAGAAAGAGCGAGCAGATATAAATAAATAACAGGCAAAGAATAGTGTTCACAACTGCTATAAGCCTCATTTCTGTAATTTGTCATGAGACTATAGTTAATATTCATAACTTTCCTCTTTCACTACACATTGCATGCTTATTCCCTTTGTCCTTGGCTAATATCTCAGCTAGTTTGAGTTCTTTACCTGGTAAGGTGACTCAAAACTTTATTCCTAAATGTTTTGAGTCCTCAGGCGTACTACATTACTTGGCTTCCTGCAGTTTAGTACTAAACATGGAAGCCCTAGAAGGTGCTCCAGAGAATCCCCTAGATTCTAAGCATAGTCCTCTCTCCTGCATTACATAGCAGTATAACTTCCCTTTGGTAACCAGGATCAATCACTTCAGCCAATACAATAATCCACTTCTTTGCCTGTTACTTCAGTGGCAGGAAGAATTCAAAATGGCCAGACAGTGATCTCAGATTCTATTTCAATGGAACCATTGCTCTAATGGAAGCATTCCTCCTGTTTGAAATAAGACCTCTAAACCAGCTAAGGTGCGAGGACCTAGGACAAAAGTCTTTTGAGTAGGTTATCAGGTGTAATAGAAAGAGAAACCACTCTCATTCCCACTTCTTGAATCTAAGACCCCTGTTTTTGACCATAGGAGAAAACATTAGAATCCAGCCCCATACATATTCTTCAAGTTATGTTTACATAAATTAGCAAAATCTTGCAATTCTCTTGGAGTATAAGTTATCCCTTCCTGAGTCAGACTCTGCAATTGTCACTCTTGAGCATGCTGGGATGTGACTCCAGTTTAATTCAGCAGTTCTTTTAGGAGTTGGAGGGGATCTTAAGAGACTGGGCATCCATTTGCAAGGTGGCTGACTCAGGTAAGGTTATTACAGGATCTGCAAACAAGAGAAAGCTAGTCAGACGCAGAAAAAGGATGCTTCCACTAACTCATAGACAATAGAGTTTCAAAATTCTCAGCTTCATCTGATTCCACACATTTGTCAAGTTTCAGGACGACATAATCCTCTATGAAGAAAATCCCACTGAAATCACCAAAAAGCTAAAACCAATAAGTGAGTTTAGCAAATTTGCAGACTACAAGTTCAAAATACAAAAACCAACTGTATTTCTGTATACTAGGAACAAGCAATCAACGGAAATTTTAAAATTACCATTTATAATGGCATCAAAAATATGAAATACCTAGTGGTAAATCTAATAAAAGATGTGCAAGACCTGTTTATTAAAACCATAAACATTATGGAATGCAATTCAAGAAGACCTAAGTAACTGGAAGGATATATTGTGTTAATGGGTCAGAAAACTCATTACCTTTAAGATGTCAGTTCTCTCCAAATTGATTGATAGATTCAATGCAATCACAATTAAAATACTAGTAGGATTTTTTTGTAGAAATTCACAAACTGATTTTAAAATTCACATGGAAATGCAAAGGATCTAGAATAGCCAAAACAACCTCACAGGTGGAAAGATCTTCAGCATTATTAGTTATTAGTTATTACAAATGAAGACCACAATGAGATACCACTGCACACCCACTATGATGGCTAAAATTAAAAAGACTGAGCATATCAAGTGCTGGTGAGGATGTTGAGGAACTGAAACACTCATCCCTTGCTGGTGGGAATGCAAAATGGTACCACCACTTTGGAGAACAGAATGGCAATTTCCTAATCAGTTAAACTGACACCTACCATGTTATCCAGCCATTCTTCTCCCAGACATTTACCCAAAAGAACAGAAAACATATGTTCATACAAAACTTGCACGTAACTGTTTATAGTATCTTTATTTGTAATAGCTGAAACTAGAAGCAACCCAAATGTCTGAGTGAATAAACTGTGGTATATTCGTACCGTGGAATACTACTCAGCAATAAAAAAAATAAACTGTGAAAATATGTTACAACATAGATGAATCTCAAAATCATTACACCAAATTATAGAAGCCAGATTAAAAAAGAGTACATACTGTATGATTAATTTATATAAAATTCCGGAAAAGTCAAACTAATGTGTGGTTAGAAAAAGCATATCAGAGGTTTCCTAGGGATGGAGGGAATTGGCAAAGAGAGGCAAGAGAGAGGGATTCCAACGAGGAACAAAGAATCTTTGAGGAGTAGTAGATCTGTAAATTATCTTGATTATAATGACGGCTTCATGAGTATATACATGCCAAGATTATCCAATTGTATACCTTAAACAGGTACAATTTATTGTTTGTTAATTATACCTAAATAAAACTGTTAAAAAATAAGAACAGCTTTCAGCAAAATGGAAGTCCTATAGATAGTAAACAACAACTAAGTAATATCCTCCAGATATATTTATTAATGGATAGAACCTCACTTGATCCCTTGACAAGAATGGCTGAATGTGGGCCCTGGGCCAGGGACACGCTGTGATACCATGGACTACACCCACTTACCTTCTCCCCTGTAATAGGCTCTTCCCCTTCAGGACATGTTTTTTTTAGAAATTACACTTCTCCATTCCCACCACCACTATCTCAGACATTAGCTCAGGCTTTGTGAATCGGGGTGGGGGTCATCCAGATGTTCCTACTTTTCTGTAGTATGACAAAAAATTATTTTTCTCAAATTCTTCCATTTGGAAAGGGTCAGGGATCTCTCTCATCATCAGGACGTTGAAAGACACCACTCATAAAGTTAAAAACACAGATTTTTACGCTTGGAATGAACCAGAAAAGCTATTCTTTAACTTGCGCAGAAATTCTTCCTGTTCCATCACCTAGCCTCAGCTTGAGAGACGTCAGTTACAGAATACCCTCTACCTCTCTGGACAGTCATTTCCAAGTAAGGGAATTCTGCCTGTTAGAACACATTAATCTAAAATTAGTTTAGGGCCGGCCCGGTGGCTTAGCGGTTAAGTGCTCGCGCTCCACTGCTGGTGGCCCGGATTCGGATCCCAGGCACGCACCTACGCACCGCTTCTCCAGCCATGCTGAGGCTGCGTCCCACATACAGCAACTAGAAGGGCGTGCAACTATGACATACAACTATCTATTGAGGCTTTGGGGAAGAAAAAAAGGAGGATTGGCAATAGATGTTAGCTCAGAGCTGGTCTTCCTCAGCAAAAAGAGGAGGATTAGCACCGATGTTAGCTCAGAGCTGATCTCCCTCACAAAAAAATAAAATAAAATAAAATAAAATAGATAAAAAGTTTGGAAATAGTCCATCAGCATCCTGGGCCTTGCACATGGGGCCATCCAGAAGAGCATAGTTTCCTCATCCACATGACAGCTCTGCTAATTCCTACAGAATGTTCTCACAGGTATAGTCGTCAATCCCAGAAGAGGAAATCAGCAACCTCCTCTAAAGCTTTTCAGGGACATTTAGGGCCAAGTCAACAAGATGAAGCAAGAATGGATACAGGGTGAAAATGAGGCTAAAAGAAGGCAGGTCTAGACTACTCTAGGGGCATATCGAGGTTCTGCAGCCCAAAGACAGATCTGAATGTCAAGGCCATCACAGATGACTCCCAGACCTCAACGGCCTCCAGGCTGCCCTTGTCAAAAGTAACATCCCAAGTTACTGTGGAGCTGCCTTGGGTAGGGAGCGTTTCTGAGTAACATTCCCCTTTGAGTCCTCTTATAAATAGTCTCGCCCAAACTCAGCAGCAAGCCAGCTCTGTTATCTTGGGCAAGTTACTTCCCCTGGCGGGCACATATGTAATTGAGGCATTTGGACCACAGATTGACACGTGTTCATTACCTTTTTTTCCCACAAACCTTCACTGAGAATGTGCTTTGTGCCTTGGGGGTTCAAAAATGAGAGATGCAATCCTTACTCTCAGGAATCTCACAGTCCACTGGGGTTAGACACACAAGTAAACAGACAGTTCAAAAGCAGGCTTATGCTCGAGTCGAGGGACTGTAAGCAAAGAAGACAGGACCCTGATGAGAGGCCTGAGGAAGCCGGGAAAGATGTCCTAGTGTGCAAGCACCCCCTCTCCATATCTCCAATCACTTCCTAAAAGCCTGTGACTTATAGTCCTCTGCGTGCCCGCCCAGTGCCTGTATCAGATGCTTGATCGATGTATCAGCCAATAGACTGATGTTCTGCATGGATTAGCTTTTACATATCTGTCCAGTTCAGTGCCCCATCCCTCTGCCCCCACCCCAGAGAGGCCAATAAAACTCTAGTTGAGATTCACATTGCACAAAGTGTTCTGGACTCCTGGATTGACTGCCTCCTACTTCCCAAGAACCATGAGACTCCTGCTCCTGGCTCTTGCTGTCCTTGTGTCCCTACCACAAGTGATCCCAGGTAATCAGAACCCAGGGAAGCTGAAGGTAGAATGGGCTCTGGCCCATGGAAATTCCAGTGTATCACTATACCCCCCAACTTGGGTAGCTCTATGGCCCCCCCATTGGGACCACGTCCCTGGCAGAGGTAGAACCTGAGGGTAGGACAAGTTGTCCTCAGTAGACAGGGCAACCCCAACATCCAGAGTTGTCCTCAGTTTATATTCCAAGTTGCCACCTAAGGAACCAGATGAGAACTTGACTCACTACAGTTCTCTTTCCAGCTTGCGCCAGCTCTTGAAAATGATTCCCAAAGCCCACTTCCTTACGTTTTCTTGGCCCTAAAAGTGCTGTTACAGCTTTAGATGAGGTCCTTTGGTTTATCTCATATTCTGGAATTTGGCAAACAAGTCAGAAAATGTCTGCAGAGCTGTTATGTGAAAAATAAAACTGATTTTTCTTCTCCCTTCTACAATGAAAGTCTAGGCTTCTGATAATTATTACGTTTTTTTAAGTATTCATGACCAGAACTTTGAAATTGCTGCTGAAGAGGACCTGAATAGTTTCTTATTCAAAATACCCTGTTTTCTCTTTTGTTGTATATCTCTCAAGATACATTTCAATGTATGAACAAAGTCATATAAAAAAGAATCTAAATACTTCTGTTTTATAAAAGAGCACACTATATACATAGTTACACAGCCTTCTTCTGTCAAGTAATAATATTTTGTGATCATCTTTCCACGTCACCACCTAAAGATCTGCATTACTCTTTGTAAAGTAGTAACTCTCCACTGTAGGATAAGCCATAATTTATGTACAGTCATTTGGGAATATCCTACTTTTCTAACAACACATCAGTGAACATACTTGTACAAGTATCTTTACATATTTGCACAGGGATTTATATAGAATAGATTCCTTGAAGTCAAATGACCAGGTTAAAGGTAAGTGTAAAATATTTTATTCCATGAATTCCTCCCTTATATACCTTTCAGGACACTGCTTGTAGAAGTTGTCAGCTTTTGGGGTGTTGAGTAATTTTCCACTTGCAATTTCAGACACAATCAGGGACAATTCTGTATGGTCCATATGGGACCAATTGTGTCTGCTTTGAGTTCTGGTGGGGGCGTTGAGACTAGGAAAGAGCCAGATGTGAAAGATTTGGTAAAAGCAATCCATGAATCATGGAAACTCAGAGCATGCGGGGAGAGAAGGAAACATTGCATGTTCTGTGGTTCCAAGGCTGATGTTCTGGTAAGAGATATAAATTTGGAGCCATCCCTTAGAGGGAGTAGTTGAGACAATGAAAGAAGCATGAAGTCTTCATGTTTTATCCTGGACAGCCCTAACATTTAAAGAAGAAGAATAGAAATCATTTAGTGACATTTAGAGGGAAAGTAGGAAATCCCCATACCTCTCACCAACAGCACACGAAGTTCACCATATCACCATAATCCCTCCAACACTCAGCATTATTTCTACCAGTCAGATGGGTATAAAGTAATATCACACTATTGTTTTAATTCACATTTCTCTTATCCTGTGATCAAAATATATGAATGGCTGGGGCCGGCCCTGTGGCATAGTGGTTAGGTGGCGCGTTCCACTTCAATGGCCCGGGGTTCACAGGTACGGATCCCAGGCGCACACCGACGCACTGCTTGTCAAGCCATGCTGTGGCAGCGTCCCATATAAAGTAGAGGAAGATGGGCATGGATGTTAGCCCAGGGCCAATCTTCCTCAGTGAAAAAAGGAGGCTTGGCATCGGATGTTAGCTCAGGGCTGATCTTCCTCACACACACACACAATATATATATATACAGGTGAATGACTTCTTTTCAATGACCTGCAAGACCCTATGTGATCTCAACCTCCGTTATATTTCTCCAATTACTCTCCACCTCACTTATTCTACAGTCACCATAGCCACCTTATTTTGGGTGGGATAGATCCTGCCTCTGGGCATTTGTGCTTGCGGCTCCTCTACCTGGCACATTTTCTCCTAGTTGGTCGCATAGCTCACTCTCTCATTTCCTCTCAGTGAGGTCTTTTACTACTTGCCTTCCAATCACACCCTTCCTACCCTTCACTATTCTCTGTGATGCTAACATGAATGTTTTACTTTCCTCTCCTACTGTCTCGTTCACTGTCTCTTGAAAAGACTGAAATCTCCATGAGAGCAGGAAGTTTAGTTTATTTTGTTAATGGATGTATCCTCCTGCATCTTGAACAGTGCCTGGTATGTAGTCAATACTCAACAAACATTTGTTGAACAAATAAACAAATGACCCTTTCCATGTCTGTTAATTGCCTGCTTATATCTTTTGCCCATAGTTTCTACTGGGCAGTTAATGCTTCCTTGTTGATATGCAGGAGTTCTTTATCTATTTTTTATATTATTCCCCAGTCAGCTTTAGTCACTGGGTATATTATCCCCCAATCTGTCATCTACATATCTATGCCCACGATATGTCTTTCATTGAACAGAAATACTTAATTCTGGTCTAATCAAATTTAACAATTTTTTTGCCTTGTGGGTTGTGCTTGGTGATTTTGTCAAAGAAGTTCTTCCCCATCCTTACGTTTCAAAGGGAATCTCTGACATGATTTTCTAATAACTGTTCAGCTTTGCCTTTCGCATTTAGATCTTTAAGACACCAGATGGAATGTGTAAATCCACTTTTATTTTTCTCATGAAGTGAGCCAGTTTTCCCGGCACTGCATGCTAAATAGTTCATGCTTTCTTCACGGATTCACGGTGTCATTGTTATTGCATATTAAGTTCTCCATTTAAGCATGGAACTATTTCAGCTGTCTATTTTGTTCTATTGGCCTATTTGTTCTTGTGACAATACTATATTTTTGCACACCATGGCTTTATAGTCTGTCAGTGTCTAGAAGTGTAAACTTTTGTCTTCATTTTTTTTAAGTGATCTTAGCTGCCAGTGGCGTTATATTTCATCATAAATTTTAGAGTAAAATAATCAAGTCTCCCAACAATCCCAGTGGGATTTTGATTAGAATTGCATTAAATTTACAGATTTATTTAAGGGAAAGTGAATCTTTATAATAATTAAGTTATTCTATCCAAGATCACATATTCTCTTCAAGTTTTAAAATATATCCCATAGAGGTTTTGGGTATTCTTCGTTTAAAACAAGGTACTTCCTAGCTGTGCTATATGTTTCATTATATTTTCTAGTTAGTTAATTGTTGCTGTAGAGAAGTGCTATTGATTCTTGTAAGTTGATATTGCATTGGACATAATTACTGAAATCACTAATTATAATAATTTGTTGGTTCCTTTTGTATTATAATCATGACTGCTAGAATGAATGACAATTTTATCTCTTTCCCTCCAATCCTTATATTTTTGTTGTATTTTTGTTTTTCTTCCTTTAAGCATTGGCCAGGTCTACCACTATTTTAAATAATAACAATAATAGGGAGTATCTTTGTTTTCCTGACCTCAATGGGAGTTAGTTTCCCCATTAGATAATGTTAGCTGTAGAATTTGATACACAACCTTCACCAAATTAAGGAAATTCCCTCTATTCCTGCTTTGCCTAGAATTTTCATCATAAGTAAGCATCGAACTTCATCAAATCATTTTTCTGTGTCAAATAAGATAATTCTGTTACTTTTCTGCTTAACCCTATAAAGGTGGTGAATTTCATTGATAGATTTTCTAATGTTGGATGGTATTTTGCATTTGAAGTTAAACTCTACTTAATCGTGATGTCTTTTAATACACTGTTGAATTCAGTTGGCTAATACTTTATTTAGGATATGTTTGAATCTATATTTACACAGAAAATGGACCTATAATTTTTTGGTTTTAAAATCAAGATTATAATAGCCTCATAAAATGACCCAGGCAACTTTCCCTTTTCCCCCTCCCTTATTTTCTGGAACACTGTATATGAGATAGTACTTGGATCTTCTGTGAAATTAGTGGAATTCACCTTTAAAATCATCTAGGATAGCAATATTATTCACAATAGCCAAAAGGTGGAAGCGACTCAAATGTCCATTGACAGATGAATGGACAAACAAAATGTGGCATATACATGCAATGGAATATTATTCGGCCTTAAAAAGGAAGGAAATTCTGACACGTGCTACAGTGTGGATAACCTTTGAAGACATAATGCTAAGTGAGATAAGCCAGTCACAGAAGGGCAAACACTGTATGATTCCACTCATGTGAGGTACTTAGAGTAGTCAGATTCATAGAGACAGAAAGAAGAATGGTGGTTACCACAGGAATGGGGGGGGTATTTTTTAATGGGTACAGAGATTCAGTGTTGCAATGAAAAGAGTTCTATGGATGGATGGTGGTGATGGTAACACAATAACATGAATGTACATAATGCTCCTGAACTATATGCCTAAAAATGGTTAAGACAGTAAATTTTATGTTGTAAGTATTTTACCAAAATTTTAAAAATCATCTAGGGCTGTGACTTTTTGGAAGAAGAGGTTTTTCACTACTACTTCGACTCCTTAACTGGAATATTTTTAAGAATTTACCCATTTCATCTAGGTTTTCAATTCTACTAGTGTATAGTTGTTGATAATTCTCTTCTGTTATTTTTAATATGCTGTGTTTGTTTTTATTTCACCATTTCACTGTGGACGTTATTTTTATTTTCCTCTTTTTTTTTTCTTAATCAGTCTTTCCAGAAGTTTTCTGATTTCATTCCTTCTGACTTCATTATTTCTGACTTTATTACTACTCTTCTCATCGGTTTTATTTTTTACCATATTATTTAATTTCCAAATACATGGGATTTTTTATTATAATTTTATTGCATTTGGTTGGAAAATATAGAAGGTATGACATGAACATATGGCATTTACTGAGGTTTTTTATAGCCTGAAACCTTGCCACATAAATACAGTCCATGGACTAACACTATTGGCAACACCTGGAAGATTGTTAGAAAAGCAGAAACTCAGACCTTGCCACATGAACTGAATCAAAATCTGCATTTAACAAGACCTCAATGTGATTAATATGCACACTACAAAGTTTAAGAAGCACTGGCCTAATACCTGAGCAAACGAAGCATCTCACGTAGGAATATCTACACCATTCTAAGGTTCTAGTAATATCCTATTTCTTACTCAGAATGTGGGTACACGGATATTCATTTTATTATTATTCTTTAAACCACACAGATATAATTTATATACTCATTTGAATGTATATTTTGCAGTAGAATGTATTCAAAGAAATTGAACCACGTGAGGTGTGACCAATGCAAATAAGTCAATCACAGTAACAACAAGATGAACTTTCTTTATGTGGATAGCTTCACACAGGCCCAGGTAGCTTCATAATCGCTAGCTCCAATTCCCTGTGACTAGCAAGTTTCTTTTCGTTTGTGGTAAGATTCATCTTACTTTCAGAAAAGTTAAAAAAATGGGCAGATAGGAGGTGGGGAACAGCTATTTTTAGAAACATAGCATTTACCAGGCCCGAGCTGGGAGACTTGTGGCCATAGTCTAGTTATGACCCATGATGTTGTTATGGGATAGCAAATATACAGTCATGTTTGTAAAACTGAAAGCATCAGTAACCCAAAATCAGTGGTCTTTCCTTTTATCATTCAGCCTATGGTGGTGGAAAAAAATGCTGGAACAACCAAGGACACTGCAGGAAAAACTGCAAAGCTGATGAAGCAGTAAAATCAGCCTGTAAAAACCATCAAGCCTGCTGTGTTTCAGTCAAGGAAGGGCACAGGCAAGTGGCCGCTAACAAGAAAATTCCTATCACTACACCTTCATATGATGTTAAGTCAAACATTATTGATGTACTTATAACAATAAGGCCCACTACAACAAACTTTGACTTGATCGTCACGAATAAAGAAGAAGAGAACTCTGACCCGGTCCTGGGGACTCTGATCACTGTCCCAGAAGTTCATCAAAGCTCATGACTTCCTCTCAGCTGTCACTCACCCCTGTCCTCAGATTGATGGACTAAGTCATATGGATAAAGCACTGAAAATAGCCCGGTGACCCACTCCTGCCCTCCATCGACGTATAATTCTAGATAAAAACAGCTGTCTAAAAATTTCCAATACTTCCAATGATAAACTCTTCAGTGTTTTTCTTGAAATTTCAAATCATTTACCAACAAGTTTTAACCCATTTTTAGTGTCCCGTCTTTGCTAGTGACCTATGCAGGGCCTTAACTGCTTGAAGTATTCCAACACTTAGCTTTCCATTTGTCCTTCCATTTTCTCAACAAGTGTTTTGGGATGGGATGCTCCTTGATGGCAGTACAAATCATCACTACCAGAGGAGAAGGGGGGAGGGAGGAGGATAAAAGGGGTGATAGGGCACATGTATACGGTGATAGATGGTAATTAGTCTTTGGGTGGTGAACATGAGGTAGTCTACACAGAAATCAAAATATAATGTACACTTGAAATTTATATAATGTTATAAACCAATGTTACCTCAATAAAAAAAAAAACTCAGAATAAATAAATAAATTAGATCTCATCATAATGCCCCCCCAAAAAAACACAATCAAAAGTCTAAATTCTTGCATTTATAATAGTAGCTTCTAAGACACTAAAAGCTTTCTTTATAACAGATACTTCAGGTGAAAACATTCATTTTACTACTAACTAACTTTGGTCCTAAAGCCCTATATAGTCATCTCTTGGTATTCGTGGGGAATTGGTTCCAGGACTCCCCGTGGATACCAAAATCCATGGATGCTCAAGTCCCTTAGTTGGCCCTCCGTATCCGCAGTTGGTTGAATTCGCAGATGCAGAACCCACGGATATGGAGGGCCAACTGTATTATCACTCACTGTAGGAAACAGGCTGGCCCAGGTGTGAGCTATGAAGACTCTTTTTTGCCCTGGTTGCTTCAGGTTGAAATAGAAGTTGTTGAAAGGCTGACTTCGGAGGCCCATTTCCTTGACCAAGCCTTGATCACACATGGACATCCAAGGATAGGGAAGGCCCCTTAATTATGAGTGAAAAGATGGGTCATTTTGTCCATCTGAGAGCTTTGTCTCCCTCTGGTGGCATAAAAATATCTTCATAAACTGTCCCCTTTCAGAGAGGTCCATCCACATAACACTACCACACACCTCATTGTTAACAAGTCTCTTGCTCTTCCCAAAACCCTGACCAACACACCAGTCAACCCATCAACGTCCATGAATTATCATAGATCCATACCTTAAACTATCCCTCCTTCTACTGAAAGGCTTTCCCTTATTCACTGTCTAATTTCAGGGCCACCTCTAAATGGGGCTATAATGCAGCACTTTTGGCTGGTGCTAGTGTATCATGTAAACCACTCCACAAACCTGGCCTTGCTCTTTCATCCTTTGTTAGCTAACCATGGGAATTTCTCATGACACCATTAGTGTGTGATGAAGGAGAGACAATAGAGCAGGTACCACTGGCATCAGAGCCACCTGCTCCTGCAGATTATTTATGCTTTCCAGACCTACTCAGTCTCAGTTTTGAACATAACATTTTCACCTAACATTGGAGTGCTCCTTCACAGGGGTCAGATAATACCCAATAGATGATGGAAAATTCAGATCTTGTGAATTTATTTTCTCAAATTATTTAAATTTTTATTACTAATAATTCTAATATTTGAAAGTCTGAATCTCTGGTTTGTGGTTTCTGCTGGCCTTAATTCATGGTGCCTTATTTCCTAGTGTGTTTTCTGGTTTGGGGCTCTGATCGGTGCATTGTCCTTGGAACTTTGAGTAAATTAGTTGAGTCTTGACTTAAAGTCCCCTTCCTCACTTGTTTCTGTCACACATCTTTGGCACTACTAGCTTAGGACAACTTTAGGCTAAATCATCAGCTTGATTTTTTTTCAGACCATCCTTATACTGCAAGTTCAGGCTAAGAGACTGTGAGAGCCAGCTTGAGATTGTAAATTCTCAGTGGAGATTTTTTTTCTTTATACTGAGTACTAAGGTTCAAGACCAGGCAATTGTCCTTGAAAATATCTTGTGAAGGAGAAAGAACGTGGTAGCTGCTTTATCCTTACACAGCTTATGTAACACTTTCAGGACTGAGATTTATGTAGAAGTCTCCTATTAGACTCATGTTTTTTCAGGCCCTTGGCACTGTCTCTTCTCCCCTGCCTACCCCTACCCTGGCCAAAGCCGTGGAAACCAAAGCTCAGGTTCACCTGATTCAGCAAATGCTCTCAAGACAACAGCCAGCTTCAGTTACTGCCTTCAGAAAAGCACTTAGTTTCTCTTGACCTTAATATTCTTTACTTTTTTGCAAGGTCATGGATGCTTAAGATTTTATTTTGGATGTTTTGGTTTTTTTTTTTTATGAGGAAGATCAGCTCTGTGCTAATATCTGCCAATCCTCTTTTTTTTTTTTTTTTGCTGGGGAAGACTGGCCCTGGGCTAACATCCGTGCCCATCTTCCTCCACTCTACATGGGGTGCCGCCACAGCATGGCTTGCCAAGCAGTGTGTCGGTGCACGCCCGGGATCCGAACCAGCGAACTCCGGGCCACCGCAGCTGAGCGCGTGCACTTAACCGCTTGCGCCACCTGGCCGGCCCCTATTTTGGATGTTTTAAATAAGTTATTTTAGATATTTTCAATGGGAGAGTTAATCTGGGTTCTTAGACCATGATTCTGCCAGAAATAGAGGTCTGGATCATGAGTTTTGTTGTTGTGATAGGTGGCAAGGACAGGTGCTGAGAGGATAGGTGGCAGCACAGAAGGAAGGAGAAAAGAAGATAATTGTCAAAGGATGAAACTCACTCAATGTCTGAAACCAAAATGTTGAAATGATTGCTTTCTTAAATAAAAGAAAACCACGCTGATCAGGCATAGGCTCATTAAGCAGAGGAAAGTGCTGAACTTACATAGTATTTGGGGGAAGGATTTGGGGGGAGTGACGTTGGTCACAGATGTGGGGATGGGTTAATGACAACTTAGACATGTGTACACTGAAGTGAATCCATCCCTGGTTGGCTGACTTTCAAAGCATGATTCTGTCACTAAGAATTTGGCTTTCAGAAGTGTGTTCACTGAAGCAAGTTGACACTGATCAATGAGAAAGGTTTAAATCCTTTCAAGGTATTAACTTGTGATCATGGCTATAGAACTGTCAGCCTTTTTCCAGGAATGTGAACAGTTTTTATTCGCACAAGAGAAGAGAAACCTCAGAGGAGTGACACAAGAGGAACTCCAAAAGATAACGGAGGAGGAGCAGCCCAAAAGTTGGGAGGAAAACAAAGAAAGAGTGAAGTCACAGAAGCCAACCAAGTTAAGGTTTTCAAGGAGGGAATGAACTACGTGGTTGGAAATGCTACCAAGAGGCAGAGTGAGGTATAAGTTGAGCAACGGCCATGAAACTTTCGAAAAGGACGTCCATTGGTGACCTTGGCCAGAGCTGGTTCAATAGGACAACAGGCACAAAAGCAGATTGTGATGAGTTGAGGAAAGGCAGAGAAAGAAAGATAATTGGCAAGTATAGCTCCTCTCCTTTTGACAAAATTTGGGACTAAAGATGGAGAAAGAAGTAAGATATTAATGGAGGTAAGACATAAAATGTAAAATTAGAATTTTACCTTAAAAAGCTAGTGTGGGCTGTAATTGGGGGCACAGGCCTCATAGATTTTCAGGAATTAAAAGACCTTAACAATCATCAAAAAGAACAACAGTATCCAGTGTTCAAATTCCTTCCACAATAATCACCAAACACACCTCCGGCCTCACAACTTGGAACCTTGACAGGACAACCTATTCTACATTACAACGGCTGGTTAGGAAGTTCTTCCATGGACTAAGACATATTTATCTACAAGACTTCCACCCACTGCCCTATGTATCCATCCCACTAGTTCTGGGCCCCCTCTGAGCCCTACGCGGCACAGATTAAGTCATGGCTCTGCCTAAACCTTTCAACCCTCCTTCAGTGGACTCAAGTACATTCTCTCCCCATCTTCACTGGTTTATCTAGATTCTCTCTCTTCTTGTCACTAAAGTTTTCTAGGCTTCTGTCTCACAGGACTGGATCCAGAATGGGACAGATATCTCACCATGCAAAACCCAATATCTCACAATGATTTCCAATGGATGAAAGACAGACAAGGGTGGCAGGTGCATGAATTTTAATGAGGGGTATTGACAGCAGGTTGAGTGTTCACCAGCGTTCAAGAGATTTTTGGCCAGTGGTTTTCTTGGCTCCAGTCACTTTTTCACTCTCTGCTGGGCATGTTTATCCTCATGTAGGACTGGAGGCAGCATGATTGGTAATTTCTACAATAGAGGTAGGGCTGTTCATCCTTTTTGCAAGAGCTTCTACAGATTCCCATGTTACCCATGCATTGAAGGATTTGGCGTTTGCCTGCCCAAAGAAAAATACAAATAGTTAATTTCCACTTAGCAGTAACATAGGTCTGACCAGTCAGGGAGCACAGTAAAAACCTAAAGGTCTAAAACAATAATGAGATACCACTGCACACCTATTAAAATGACCAAAATCTGGAAACACCAAATGCTGGTGAGGATGTGGAGCAACAGGAACTCTCATTCATTATTGGTGGGAATGCAAAATGGTACAGCCACTTTGAAAGACAGTTTGGCAGTTTCTTACAAACCTAAACATTCTGTTACCATACAATCCAGCAATTGCATTCCTTGATATTTACCCAAAGGACTTGAAAACTTATGTCCACACAAAGATCTACACACAGATGCTTATGGTAGATTTACTCATAACTGCCAATATTTGGAAGCAACCAAGATGCCCTTCAGTAGGTGAATGGATGAATAAACTGTGGTCCATCCAGACAACGGGATATTATTCAACACTAAAGAGAAATGAGCTATCAAGCCATGAACAGACAGGGAGGAAGCTTAAATGCACATTACTAAGTAAAAGAAGTCAATCTTAGAAGGCTACACACTGTATGATTTCAACTATATGACATTCTGGAAAAGGCAAAACTGTGGAGACAATAAAAAGATCAGGGCCAGCCCTGTGGCTTAGCGGTTAAGTGC